AATTCCTTTTGTACTACTCCTCTTGCATGTTGGAAACGACCAGTCAGTAGATTTCTGATCGTGCGTGCCCGTTTTGCTGGATTATTGTTATAATCTTGCTTGTATTGCTCTTGTCGAAATGGGTCACGGTATACTGCTGTTCGGATGTAATTCACCGGATTTATATCTGCTCTTGCTGGTGGTGCTCTGACGGCCAAGTCGGCAGCTTCTCTTGCGCTTCTTGATAGTGAATTGATGTCTAATTGGCGAAGCATTCGGAGGACCGGGTGGTTCTCTCTTTGAGCCGTAGGAATCACCGACCAGCGTACTCTCGGCAGCTCGCGGTCTGTTGCGTCTTGATTGTCTTCGTCTGCCGTGAGGGTGTTATTTTCGGTGTCGACTGTATCAGTGTCGGTCTCTGGCTCGACGGTGTGAGTGTCAGCGGTGTCGTCGTGCTCTTGTAAGCAATGGCCAGGGGTGCGTGCCTCAGCCTCGCTCATACCAAGTAAACTTGGGAGTTGTGTGATGAAATCTTCCAAGACATTGATGTCTGTCATCTCTGGAAGTTCGATGAAATCGACGGTGCCTCGCATCGGTACGACATATGCTCTGCCGCGTGACGTCAGGGGCTTGTATCCTTTTCTACCAATGTAACAGACTGCGCACACATATCCCCTCGTGGTTTGTTCATGTGTGTGCCTGTTGGTATCCTCTCCGCTGTAGCCGGCTTCGTCGACATTTTCGAACTGACCTTGGCGTGCACCGGTTTCATTCTGCGAGTGCGTGCTTGCCGTTCCTGGACGACGTGGACTGTAATAAGCAGCGGCTCTGCCTATAGGGCGTCTGCCAGGAAATCTATTTTCGAATTCGTCTGACGCAGTTGACGTGTTGAAAAGGGTAGCGTCGTTATCGTTGTTGTTGCTAGGCGACGCCATTTCCTAACCTCTCACTTGTTCTTTTACGTGCACTCTCGTGTTTTACTTACGTGACACCCGCGCACTCGCGAACTGTTTTATTGTTCAACTGTTCTTTTTTCCTTTTTTTTTTTCCTTTCTTTCGAGCACTTGTGCACTACCGAGGTTACGTTCTGGCAGAGAGAAAAAAACTGATGCGGCGGCCCACGTTGCTGTGAGCCGGTGATGCCCGCTTCTCTGCTCCGCGAGGCTGCCTGTCTGAGTAGCGCATGCGCCCTTTTCTTCTCACTGCTTGTATACTAGAGTAGGAGGGGAAAATTCTCTGTTTGCATTGCCTGTGTTTGATGTCTATTGCTGCGACTTTTCCGAAAATATTCGCTTCTTGGCCGTGAAATAAATGAACTAAGCTCGATTTTTCCTTTCGGACGCTTAATATTTGCAGAATTTTGGATCAAATTTAATTTTGTGTCGTTTGGAGAATTGTACAGGTACGGCTGGTGTATAGTCTATGTAACTTTAAGCTTGCCACCGCGCTCGAAATTACCTTTCGAGGTCTACCTCGTTTTCTTTTTGTTGTGGAGGCGAGCGTTTTGTTATTTTCGGTGACGCTTTTCTTCGGACGTCCGCGTGCCCGCTTCGGCTTTATTTCGATGCCGGAATCGCTGTTTCTGTCCGGAGATTTACGTGGACGACCTCTTGGGCGCTTGGCAGGTGGAGTATCTTCTTTCTTGCCTTCTTTTTCGTCTTCGTCGCTCGATGATTTCTCTGTTTCATATTTCTTCAGATGCATCGAATGCCATGCGTTGCGTAGTTCTACGCCGTCTTGCTTTAATTTATATAAGTTCCTACCTACTATACCCGTTATTATGCATGGTCCAACAAATTTAGTGTTTAGTTTCGCGCTTATATTTTTCGCGCTATCGGATAACTGCATATTCTCGCGTAAAACTTTTTGTCCGATTTTAAATGTATACTCGCGCTTGTTACTGTCGTGGTATATGCTTGTCTTTTTCTGTTTTGCCAAAGTTTTCTCGGCTGTGTCTTTGTGGGACTTTTGTAAATCACTCATACGTTTCGCCCATTGATTTGTGTTGCTGATTTGTGTGTTAGCTGTTGTGTTTTGTGTGGGTGGTTGAGTGGTTGGGGAATCGTTTATGTTTTTAAGCTGAGGGAGTGAATCACGTATATTTTCGATGTTTTGTCGCCACGACTGCGGAGGTGTTAGTTCGCGTCCGTATACTAAAAAGTTGGGAGTCTTGTTCGTTGTTATATTTTTACTGCTGTTATAGGCGAATTGAAATTGAGGAATAAATTTGCTCCATTGAAAGTGGTTTTTCTCGACATACGATCTTATCATTGTTTTAATTGTTCTATTTGCTCTTTCCGTTGGGTTATCCTTGGGAGCTTGTACGCCTGTTTTCTCGTGTATTATTCCGCTCTCGTGTAGGAATTCGTCGATAGTGTTATTGTCATATTCTTTACCATTGTCCGAAATTAGTGTTTGCATGCACCCGTGGTTGGCTATTACCGTATTTTCGATTGCGTCTTTGACAGATTCGGCTGTCTTATCCTTTAGTGGTTTGCAAATCACATATCTCGAAAATAAGTAAATGAAAACCGATAAATACATGTAACCTTCCGGGCTCGCGGGGAAAGGGCCTTGTAAATCTGTAGCAACGGCTTACCATGGATATGTTATTGTCCGTGTGTTCATAGGTCCGATTTTCCCTTGCTGGTCTGCCCTGCATTTTTGGCAGATCTGGCAATATTTGACGTAACGTCGCGTGTCTCGGTAGTACCCTGGCCAAAAATAATCATTTCGTATTCGAGCGTATGTTTTCTCGGTTCCCAGGTGTCCTGCATACGGGCTGTCGTGATTCTCGCGTAAAATTTGTAATCTATGTTCGCGTGGCACGACGATTTTCCAAGGTTTAAAATCTGGGAGATTATTTTCGATATCGTGCTTGGGTTTGTACACGTATAATTTATTTCCTATCGTTTTCCAGTCTTTGAAAAATTTCGGCTTAACAGTAACGTCATTGAATCGTCGAATATACCATTTGTCTGTCGTATAGTTCGTTAAATCGATTGCTGCGACGGCATGAGTTGCAGTTATATCGGTATTTTCGTATATGCGGCTTAATGCGTCCGGGACTACGTTGCAAACCCCTTTGCGGTGAACGATCTTAAAATCTGAGCCGAGAAGGTCGTCTATCCAGCGGCCTATGCGGCCTGTTGGCTGCTTCCTTTCGAAAAGCCACTTCAGCGCGCTGTGATCCGTAATTACTGTGAAACTCTCGCCTTCTAGGTAACACCTAAACTTCTCGATTCCTACTCGAACGGCAAGGCATTCTTTCTCGGTCGTGGAATAATTTAATTCGCATTTTCTCAATGCTCTGCTACCGAAGGCGATAACATATTCCACGCCGTTTATTTTTTGTGTTAGAACATATCTAATTCCGACGTTATTCGCGTCGCAATGTAAGAAATATTCACCGTTTGGGTCTGGTCTATGTAACATAGGTGCATTTACCAAGAGGGATTTCAATTTCGAGAACGCCTGTTGGTGTTCATTTTTCCACTCGAATTTTACGTTTTGTTTTGTTAACTGCGTGAGTGGATGTGCTATTTTCGCATAATCGCGTATAAATTTCCTATACCAACTGGCCATACCAAGGAACCTTCGCAGTTGGCGCAGAGTTTTTGGACGGGGGTAGTTTTCGACTGACGCAGTTTTGTCTCGGTCGATTTTTATCCCGTGTTCGTTCACAATAAACCCTAAGTATTTAATTTCGGATTGGCAGAAGTGACTCTTACCACGATTTATTGTTAATCCTGCATCGTTAATTCTCGAAATTAATATTTCCAACCGCTCCAAATGTTCCTCGAACGTTTCCGAAATTAAGACAATGTCGTCGAGGTATGCATAAGCGTAAGGTTCGAGATTGCTGATTACGCGATCTATAAGTCTCTGAAAGGCTGCGCCCGCGCCCTTGAGACCCATCGGAAGTCTTTTATATTGCCATAATCCTCGCCCTGCTACCGTGAAAGCGGTAATAGGGCGGCTGTGTTTGGCTAATCTTATCTGATGGTAAGCTGATGATAAATCGATCGATGTTATATAACGCGCTGACCGCAGTTTGTTTAAAATTACATCCATATATGGTAATGGGTAGGCGTCTCCTTCCGACGCTTCATTGACTTTTCGCAAGTCTACACACATGCGGTAAGCGTTTTCGTTTTTCTTAACCATCACTACCGGTGATGACCATTCAGACTCCGACGGTTCTATTATACCTTGAGCTGCTTGCTCGTCGATTATGTCGTGCAATGCTTTCTCTAATTTCGGTGACAAGGGGAAGTATCTTTGCTTAACGGATTTTACCCCCGGGCGTAGTTTAATTTCGTGTTCGACTAAGTTCGTGTAAGGTAATTTTTCCTTTTGCTTTTTGGTTGGAGTGGGTAGCAATTTGTTTAATAAATTTTTCAATTTTAAATTTTGACTGTCGGTTAATCTAGATAGACCGCTCGCTTGCGGTAGTTCTTCGCGTTTTACGTCTAATGTACAAGCGTCAAAATTTATGTCGGGGTTAGGTAAAACGTCTAATGTACATAACTCGAATTTCTGTTCAATCGTTTTGCCGTCGATTTTATAATTATACGAATCATTTTCCGTTTTCATGTTGATTTTATGTGACCGTATAACATCCATCCCCAAAATCATACCGTACGGTAACGTTGGCACTACTAAAATTCTTGTCTTTGCTTTTAATTTATCGATTGTTATTGTGGTTCTGATTTTGCCTTGTGTTTTTTCCAGTTTACCGTTCGGCATTTTAACGAAATTAACAGTGTTATTGTCAATATTAATTTTATTAGTTTCGCATACTTCGGCGGCTATTTCTCCCATAATCGTGCGAGTCGCCCCCGGATCAAATAAGGTTTTTATTTCCGATTTTCTGATTTGCACTGTTAGCCAATACCGGGGATAAATTTTAAATTTTTCGCCTTTTTCCGGCTCGTCACGATAACGAACTTTTGCTTTTTTGATGCGAGCTTTATTTGTAGCAGTTGATGACGCGACGCTCGCAGTGTCGTCATCTGCACTTAGTTTTTTGATTTTCGATCTTTCTTATCGCCGCGGTCGCGCTTGTCCTTTCTGCGATCCTCGTTTTTGTCGCGGGATTTCTCTTTGCTCCTATTCTCGCGATCGTCTTTAGGTTTGGGGTCTCGATGTTCCTTCTTCTCCCCATCCCGGTTCTCCTTGGGCGGTTTGTCGTGTCTACTTTTCCTAGAGGTTCTCTCCTTATCGCGACTGCGATGGATACTTTCGGACACGCTTGACCAGCCGCTTTCGCTGCCGGAAAAACTTCCGCGTCTACTGCTACGATCGCTCAATGAACTATCGCGAGATTGACTTCGTTTGCGATTCTCGCCTTTTTTCCCGTGTCTCCCGAAAAAAGCCATGTGGTGAAAGCATTGCTTGTTGCACTTGTGGTAGATCTTTTTGTAATTTCGGTTCTCTTTGCTTCTATCGCGATAATTCCCGAAAGTAACTGCTGCCAATTGGTCTTTTATCGTTTGTAATTCTGTTTGTACTGTTTTTAACGGGTCAGCTTCGGTCGCGCATGCTTCATCCGTAGAAGCTTTTGTTTTCGGCTGTTCTCCCGCTTCGAATGCTTTTCCAATGCTTACGGCTACTTCGATAAAATCCGTGAGTGACTTGGACATGTGGCCGCGAAGGTGAGGCATATACTGAGGGAGGAACGAATTTCGATAAATTTGTTCTTTTTGTTTGTCATCCGAAATTTTCTCGTCCATTTCGTTAAAAATTAGTAGCAGTGCGTCTATATACTCTTGCACAGGTTCATTTGTGCCTTGCATGCGCGCACGCGCCTCGTCATTTTTCTTTTCTGTGTATAGCTCGTCTGTGTACTGTCTAATCATTTTCTCTTTTATTACTGACCACGTTTTCCATTGCTGTTCGTTATTTTCGAAGTGCCGCGCCGCTCCTTGGTCAAGTAATATATGAAAGCCGCGTGCTAAATCTGCGTCTGTCAGGTCAGTTGATTTTTGCATTCGCGCAATGTCTCGGAAAAACGTTCTTACGTCTTCGTTACTTGTACCTTTAAATTTTAAACCCCACCCTGGCATTATTTTTGAAAGGTCGCGCGGTTTCGGCTGGTAAGTATTGTTCGCCGCAGGCCATCGGCCGAAATGTGGTGAAGCATAAGGTGGTAAACGTGCCGTGGTTACTGGGGAATGATCGGCGGTTTCGATCACTATTACCGGATCGTTTTCCTGCGGTTCTTTCTGTGTGTTATCGCTTGTTATTTGTAAATTCTCCAAATTTAGGTCGTGTTGTTGCGTTGCTGCCAGAATGCGTGCCAAAGCGTCTCGTTTTAGATCAGCAGTACCGAAAGGTAATTCGTATTCGTCTCGCGCAAGCGTAATTTCGTTGCCGCTCGCGTCTGTCACCTTGTACGTTTGTTCGTCTGCTTGATGCAACGATGATGCGCGGTCGTAAGAACTCGCGACTGTTGTTTGTGTTGTTGGATCAGTTTTTGTATTGCCTTCTGATTTTTCTGACTCACCGAACTGGGTTGATAAGTAAAATTTGCGCTTTGTATTCCTATCCTTCTCCGTAAGTGCGCTCTCCGTATCGAAGTCGTCGACTTAGTACGTCCCTTTCATTCTCTTAGTAAGTCTTAGTCTTTGTGTTTTAGCCGGTCCTGCCGTCAAAAGGTCGAGTTCTGTCAAGTGGTCAATTAATTCGCTTGTAACACGTACGTTAATGATTTAAGCCCGAACAACGTTGCGTCACAAATTATTTAAGGGGGAAAGGCTCGGAAGGCACATTCGCTTCGTCGCGAAAATTTAACGAGGGCTATGTCGTCCGGCAATATCGGTAATCGCAATTTAATCAATTAGAGAGAGACAGGTTTAACAGAATGAACTCATCAATTCTAATACTTTTCTCTTTATTATAACAATTTTATACATTCGGCCTTGACGTGTGCGTCGGCCGAGCCCGGGCTAAGTTCGCTCCGTGCGAGTAAACGCACAGGAAACAGAACGTCACCTTACAATTCGTCCCGCGAATTCCGCGAGGGCGATGCGAATTTACGCATCTAACCACTCGTCCGCGTCCGGCCTATATGATGCTCGGAGAGAGAGAAATCGAGGCGCGCACCGATAAACTAAAAAGGGTACCTGACCTTGAGAGGGAGCGCTGTTGTGGAAGTCCACGTCCTCTGGGCGAGCGATGTAGTCTTCGCAAGGCAGGACTCTCGATGTAGCTGATCTTCCCTCTTGCTGATGGTCTCCAAAACAGTATTTAACCGCACAAAACACACGTTTTCGTCACGAAGTTCTACTAGCTGGCAATTAATTGCCGGTCAGAACTATACTGCCCGCGATCTCGCGGCCTCCGCGCTTTCTTACGCGCCCCCTCCCTACAGGTACTCAACGGCCGAGCGCCGCCGGCTACGCACACATGTGCGGCTCATGCCGGCGACACTATTTCTCTCTCTCCTCCTCTGCTCTTCGCCTATGCCTATCCCTCCAGCGCCAGGCATCTCCGCCGATCAGGAATCAGACCTGTAACAAAGCCACATCGTGCGTCGATACTCGGTTTTACTCAACCAAGACCGATGTGGCAGCGGCTCAGGGGAAGGCACGCGGAAGAGAGAGAGAGGCGAACAGGGCGATCGAATCTAATGATCGATTCGCCCGTCACACCCCCTCCCAAGTCCAACGATACCCCCGATCATCGGTGGACGACCACCTCGACCTCCCTAGCACCGCCGCCACCGGCCTCGGAAACTCAGAGGGACAAAAACGGAAATAATATAAGGGCAACACTCGCACACGCCAACAATCATACTCAACATTCATTCCAATTAAATAACCTTCACCACTACTCACCCATTTGCCTTAATCGGCACTCCGGGCATCAGGTGTGCTGGCTTGCAACGCGAAGCGTCGCAGCCGCACCATCCTGATGTATTCGGCCGTGGTGGGGTGGCTAGGATTAACCGCCCCAGCCAATCTACCTAACTCCTGGGCCTGTTCGTCCGTCCATGGCTCTTCAGGCGTCGACCCCACCATCTCCGCTCGGGGCTGAAGAGGCTCCCCAGAGGGACCAGGGGCAGGATCAGCCCTCTCTGCGTCGTCGCCGGATCCTGGCGGAGTGCGCCGCAAGGCAACCTCGGCGTCTCGCTGAAGAGAACTTGCAGCCTGGTGTTCCAGCCGCGCGTCCTCTCGCAGCCTTAAAACTGCCTCGTCTGGACCGGCCCGCTCAGCTTCGAGAGCTCGTCTCCTCTCCATTCTTTCTCTTCGGAGACGGCCACCACGCCGCTGCTTCTTCTTACGCGGCTCGGCTGCTATTTCCTCCCCGGCCTCCTCGCTACGAGCCCCCCCACTCCTTTCACTCGGTGGTTGAGGTCCGTCCACCTCCTTGTGCTGTTGCTCCTCAGGCGTCCTGGCTACAGCGTCGGCCCCCGCTCGAGTCCGCAAATATTTCGCGTAAGCGGCCGCGCATCGCACGCAATGAGCAACCGTCGCGTCCAGGCGCCCACAATTCCTGCAGCATTCCCGCGGGTTCGGCGGCTCCGGGCATCTCGAGCGGCGATGTTCTCCAGTCCGGCAATTAAAACAGATAAACGGCCGCACGTCCAACTCCCGGTCGAACGGCACCGAGTTCAGGCCGGCCAGAAAGGTGCCCGTCAATCGGCCCATCATGACGCCCTCCTCCCTGGCTCCTACTACTGGAGTCTCGGCGGGAATGGCGTCCTGCAACGGGGGCCGCGAGCCCTCACTTGAGGCAATCGGCCCGTCCTCTTCACCTCGTCGCGGCTCGGGTCGGACCACAGCCGACAAGCGCGGGGTCTCCGGCGGAGGCGGCCTCTCGTCAGGAATCTCCCACTCCAGTTGGCGGTGATGGGGAAAGAAGCCCAAAACCGGCCGGGCCCCGTCCGTCTCCCGGATCCACCGCCCAGCCCGGAGCACCAGACGCGGCGGCTCGGCCTCCGACACCTGACCGGCCGAGTCGCGAGGCTTCAGGGCAGGCCTCGCGGAGACTCCCCCATCACGGTCATCAGGGCCACCCGCCATCGGCGTCTCACCGGAACGCGGAGGCGAAACACGCGGCTCCCTGGAGCGACGGGGGCAGTGCAGCCCACGGGCTCGTCCTATCTCTAGCCTCCGCGGACGCCTCCCCAATGCTATTGCCTCCGCGGACGCCTCGCCATGGAAACGGTGCGAATTTACGCACTCATTTCCCGGCCCAGCGTCCCCGGTGCGGCGGTGGCTCCTGGACGGCTGCTCCGGTTCCTCCGCTCTGGCCTCGGTCAGGGGCGAGACCCAGTTGCTCGCCGAGAAATCCGGGCCCTTGTTCTTCTTCTTCTTCTTCTTGCCGCCGCCCCGCTGCTCCTCCGCGGTCCTCCTCCGCTCGTCCTCTAGGTACCCGGCAGGCGGGATGCTCGACGGCGGTCCCTGTCGGCGGAAACTGTATCTTGGGTCCAGTTGCTGCTGGTGCATAGGCACCCACTCCATTGGCTCGTGGATGTGCCTCTCCGGCCGCACCACCGCCGTCGTCGCCGCCGAGCCCGCCGCAATTCCCGGAACCGGCTCCCCCTCTAACTGCAGCCTCCCGTTGGTAAAGCCCAACTCCTGGGGTCGGTCCGCTGCCGCTGATGATGGTAGGCCGGGCAGGTCCGCAGAGCCCTCAGGGTTCGACGGACGTGCGAATTCACGCACAGGCGTCTCGCCCCTTAGCTCCTGCGGCTGCGCCGGAGGACTCCTTAGCAAGAGCTCCTCCAGCTCCATTTCTGCGGCGTTGCTGTCCACTATCAGGCCAGCCGCTTCTCCTCCCTCGGCGCCCGGTTTCTCTTCAGGAAACCCCGGGCCGACGCTCAGGACGCGATAGGCCGAAAGCTCCGCGACCATAGCCACGGCTCGCCTCAGCACTCGCGTACCCCGGGTTTCAAGAGTCCCGGGAGCCGCCTCTTCGGTCGTACCTTCCAGGCCGCACGGATCCGGGAGCTCTTCTTCTCCATTACCCTCCGTGGAGCCGGCAAGCGACTGCTCGGGCCGAGCCAAAGATGACGAGGGCTCGGCCACGCTTGCCTCCGTTTTCTCGGGTTCTGGGTCCACCGTCCGGTCTCGTCCTGGGGAAGGCTCGCTCCTGACGCCTATTTCGGCTGTCAGAGCGGCCAACGTCGTAATCTCATCTTCCATCTATAAATTTAAGGCGTATTAGTCATTTGGTCTTTCTTCGGTCAAATTCAGTAAAAAAAAACAATTAAAAGAAGAAAAAAAAAAAAAACGAAAACACGATCCAACCCGTCTACTTCGTTACCCGACGGCGGTCGGTCGCCGTCCGTTGCCCACACCGCGCGGCGGAACGTAACGCTTCAAGTCCTTCACGTGGACCATCGGGATCCGATAGTTATTGTCAGTCTCCAACTCGTATATTAGGTTCGAGACTTTCTTCACTATTTTATACGGTCCGGTGTATTCGGGGTCCAGTTTCGCGTTCCTGCCCGTCGCGGCACACGACAACGAGTAGTTCCTCCGCCAAACTAAATCGCCTACGCTAAAGACTACGTCCCTTCGCCTCTTGTCATACTCTTTCTTCTGTCTCTCCTGCGCCTTCTCGATATGACGTCCCACCAAGTCTCGCAAAGCATTAAGTCTTTCTAATCGGTCCTGCCAAATTTCGGGTTTGATCCTGATCACGGGAGAACGCCGCTCCATTTCCCTCCTTAAACTTTTCACCGGCCGAGGATTCCGACCGAAGTTCAGGAACGCCGGCGTAA